ATATGAGCCACGTATGTGATTTAAAATTTCCTAGAAGCTGCATTGTAAGATTATTTAAATACGTGAAGTTAATTTTAATTATATATTCTGGCTTGGTGTGGTGGCTTACACCTGTAATCCCAGAACTTTGGGAGGTCAAAGTGAGTAGATCACTTAAAGTCAGGAGTTCGAGACCAGCCTGGCCAACATGGTGAAACCCCATCTCTACTAAAAATGCAAAAATTAGCCAGGTGTGGTGGTGCATGCCTGTAGTCTCAGCTACTTGGGAGGCTTAGGAGAATCGCTTGAACCTGGGAGGAGGAGGTTGCAGTGAGCTGAGATCTCACCACTGCACTCCAATTGGGTGACAGAGGGAGACTCTGTCTTAAAAACAAAAAAAATCTAGAAGCTGCATTATAAAATTATTTAAACAAATGAAATTAATTTTAATCCTATATTCCAGCTGGTCACGGTGGCTCACGCCTGTAATCCTCGCACTCTGGCACTCTGGAAGGCTGAGGCTGGTGGATCATTTGAGGCCAGGAGTTTGAGACCAGCCTGGCCAACATGGTAAAACCCCGTCTCTATTAAAAATACAAAAATTAGCCGGGCACGGTGGCTCAAGCCTGTAATCCCAGCACTTTGGGAGGCCGAGACGGGCGGATCACGAGGTCAGGAGATCGAGACCATCCTGGCTAACCCGGTGAAACCCCGTCTCTACTAAAAAGTACAAAAAACTAGCCGGGCTAGGTGGCGGGCGCCTGTAGTCCCAGCTACTCCGGAGGCTGAGGCAGGAGAATGGCGTAAACCCGGGAGGCAGAGCTTGCAGTGAGCTGAGATCCAGCCACTGCACTCCAGCCTGGGTGACAGAGCCAGACTCCATCTCAAAAAAAAAAAAAAAAAAAAAAATACAAAAATTAGGCCGGGTGCAGTGGCTCAAGCCTGTAATCCCAGCACTTTGGGAGGCCGAGATAGGCGGATCACGAGGTCAGGAGATCGAGACCATCCTGGCTAACACAGTGAAACCCTGTCTCTACTAAAAACACAAAAAATGAGCCGGGCGTGGTGGCAGGCGCCTGTAGTCCCAGCTACTAGGGAGGCTGAGGCAGGAGAATGGCGTGAACCCGGGAGGCGGAGCTTGCAGTGAGCTGAGATCCGGCCACTGCACTCTAGCCTGGGCGACAGAGCGAGACTCCGTCTCAAAAAAAAAAAAATACAAAAATTAGCTGGGCATGGTGGTGTGTGCCTGTAGTCCCAGCTCCGCGGGAGGCTGAGGCAGGAGGGTCACTTGAACCCGGGAGGTGTATGTTGCAGTGAGCTGTGATCATGCCACTGTATTCCAGTCTGGGTGACAGGCGCGACCCTGTCTCAAAAAAAAAAAAAAAGTATATATTCCTTTTAATCCAACAATACAAAATATTTTGACATGTGATTAACTTACTAATGAGATTTTTTCAATTTGTTTTTTTGAATGCTAAATCTGTGAAATCTAGGTGTATTTTACACTTACGGCACATCTCAATTCAGACATTAAATCTTTTTTGGAAGTACTAGATCCGTATTTAGAATTTGGACGATTTACAGTGGGAAAAGGGAATTTGAAGCGTGGCCTGCCTTTGTCTAGCCCCTGTTCTTCTAGAACCTGAGTTGTTCCAGACATACTTGAAGGGTTTCCAAGAACTGACTTAACCCTCGTTGGTGACATGAGCCATACTGCAAGTGCTTGGTGGCCCCATGGGGCTCCTGGCTACCGTTCTGGGTTCTGGGCTACTCGGGGCGTGAGGCCTGCTCCTGGCCAGTCCAGCGGGCTCCTGTGGGGCGTTTCCACCAGAGTCCTCCAAATTCCAGAGGCTGTTCCCTGAGCTGCCTCTGCTGCTGGGAAAGTGCTTCTGTCCCGGGGAGGCAGCTCCGGCTGCTGACTTCCTGAGGCCCCAGCAACCTGGGGCTTGCTGAAATCTGGCGGGGCCCCTGGGGGAGCTTCTCCTGAACATCCTATCCTGCTGTCTACTCCCCTTTTCCTGGGAAATGTTTACATTCCAGACAGTTATCTCTATCCAGGGCTTCTCCAGGCTCTGCATTTTTCACATAGCTGAGCAGGGAGCTGGGCTGGCCTGGGGGCCGCTGCTGGGCCCTATCTGGCCCCCTGGCTATCCCATTCAGGTATGACCCTTTACAGGGCAGGCCATGTTCCTGGCAAAGAGCCAGGCCTGAGGCACCCCGGCCCATCCTCTGACCTTTTTGTACCCAGGCATCCCCCAAAATAGGCACTTGTTGGAGCTCTCCTCCCTGCCTGACCCCAGTATGGGATTCCTTGTGAGAGCCATTGGACTAGACTGACTGATGGGGGAGGCAAGTAGCAATTGGGTTTGCTAAGCTATCATTGCTAGATCTCAACAGGGACTTTCTGCTGCTTTGAGGCCTGGTAGGGCTGCAAAGTAGGAGAGCCCAGGGCCTAAGGAGGCTGCCTCATTCTTGGGACCTTTTTCTGCAGGGCAGAGTCTCTGTGGTTGTTTTTTGTTTCAAGTCTTTAAAGCAACCAGTTGACATAGCATTGCTGTGTGCTGTTGTCACCTAGCTCTGCAGGGCCACTATCCCCTGGGGTGGGAGGTGGGGGTCAGATTGGGGTAACTGATTAAAAAACTGAACTGAAAACCTTCTTGAAGATGGTTTATCACTCGAAATTTGTAGCATTTATGTTCATACCTTTCTTAACCCACAATTCTATCCCTGGGACATCTGCCCCAGGAAATTCTCAAGTGTTGCAGACAAAGATAGGAGTCCAAGAATGCCATCAACATGGTTGTGATTGCAAACCCTCTAGCAACAAAGTAAATACTCAACAATAAACCCCTGGTGAGTTAGGGCATCTCCAGGTAAAGAATATTCTTTAGCTGTTTTAAAAGTCATTTTAGGCCGGGTATGATGGCTCACACCTGTAATCCCAACACTTTGGGAGGCCGAGGCGGGCAGATCACTTGAGGTCAAGACCAGCCTGGCCAACATGATGAAACCCTATCTCTACTAAAAATACAAAAATTAGCCAGGCATAGTGGCACATGCCTGTAATCCTATCTCCTGAGGAGGCTGAGACAGGAGAGTCGCTTGAACCTGGGAGGCAGAGTTTGCAGCGAGCCGAGATCGCGCCATTGCACTCTAGGCTGGGTGATGAGCAAAACTCTGTCTCAAACCAAAAAAAAAAGTCATTTTAGGCAGGTTGCAGTGACTCACGCTTATAATCCTAGCACTTTGGGAGGCCAAGGCAGGATGATCTCTTGAGTCTAGGAAGTCAAGACCAGGCTGGGCAACATGACGAGTACCTGTCTCTACCAAAAATTAAAAAGTAGCCAGGCGTGGCGGGCATGGTGGTGCATGCCTGTAGCCTCAGCTACTTGGGAGGCTGGGGTGGGAGGATCGCCTGAGCCTGTGAGGCCAAGGCTACAGTGAGCTGAAATCACGCCACAGCACCCAGCCTGGGAAACAGAGAAAGACCCTCAAAAAAAAAATTTTTTTTACGCCAGGTGCAGTGGCTCACACCTGTAATCCCAGCACTATGGGAGGCCGAGGTGGGCGGATCGTGAGGTCAGGAGATGAAGACTATCCTGGCTAACGTGGTGAAACCCCATCTCTACTAAAAATACAAAAAAATTAGCCAGGCATGCTGGCAGGCACCTGTAGTCCCAGCTACTCGGGAGACTGAGGCAGGAGAATGGTGTGAACCTGGGAGGCAAAGCTTACAGTGAGCCGAGATCGCGCTACTGCACTCCAGCCTGGGTGACAGAGCGAGACTGCTTCTCAAAAAAAAATAAATAAAATGTTTTTTAAAGTCATTTTCAAGCTTTTAACAACCTTGGCTGGCTGTAAGTAGGAAAACAGGCTACAAAGCTATACCTGTACATTAACTTGTATATGTATATCCATATGGCATGATCCCAATTATATTTTTCTAAATATAGACATGAGGCCGGGCGCGGTGGCTCATGCCTGTAATCCCGGCACTTTGGGAGGCTGAGACAGGTGGATCACGAGGTCAGGAGATGAAGACCATCCTGGCTAACACGGTGAAACCCCGTCTCTACTGAAAATACAAAAAAATTAGCCCGGCGCTGTGGCGGGCGCCTGTAGTCCCAGCTACTCCGGAGGCTGAGGCAGGAGAATGGCGTGAACTCAGGAGGCGGAGCTTGCAGTGAGCCGAGATCCGGCCACTGCACTCCAGTCTGGGTGACAGAGCGAGACTCCGTCTCAAAAAAAAAAAAAAAAAAAAAAAAATTGTGCAAACGTTCACAAGTGCAGAAGACTCAAAGGACTTACACTGAGGTGTTAGCAAGGGTTACTTCTGGTTGTGGGAGTCTGGGTAATTTTTGTTCTTAGACGTCTTTATACCTCCCAAGTTTTTCACAGTGTGTGTGTATTACTTCTGTAATAAATGAAAAAACACGTCTCTGCAACGACATTCCAGGAATTCCCTTTCTGGAAAGCTGGTTGAAACTCAGTGACAGTAAGAGCCTGTGAGATCCAGCTGACTGGGGCCTGGAGGGACCTGGAAGAGCCCAGAGCAGGGCAGGGCCTCCGCGGTACTCTAGGCCCCTGGGTGAGCCCGGAGCTGCGGTGCAACCAAGCTTTTCTCCCGAGAGACCAGTGTCTCCATTGCTCCAAACTCCCCCTACTTTCCCCACCCCACATCCATAAGGCCCCCATGCCACTGAGGAGGGCTGGGTCCGTCACCCAGGGCGCACGTGGTGGAGACACCAAGTCAGTTCCTGGAAAGCATCGAGAGGCTGGCGTGACATCCAGGAGGATGAGCTCGAAGGAGTGGCAATGAGGCCAAGGGCAGAGCCACAAAGGGACTGGGGGTGGGGCCTGGTAAGTTTGGGTTAGGCTCCAACACTCAGGTGTCTGGGAGGAACCTGAAAGGTACGGAATCCCTGCTTCCTGCTGGCGTCCTCCAGTGCTGCAGCTCCGGCAGCTGTGGTGGCATGAAGGGGAGAGGTCTGCAGGCCCACCCCGCGTGCTTCTCGTTGCAGACGGTGGAGCATGGCTTCCCGCACCAGCCAAGCGCCCTCGGCTACAGCCCGTCCCTGCGCATCCTGGCCATCGGCACCCGTTCTGGAGCCATCAAGCTGTATCCTCCGTCCCCTCACTCCCACCCGGGCAGGGCCTTGGGGTGGGTGAGATTTGGGGAAGGACATCTTTTTTTCCTTCCTTGCCTATGGGCTGTTGGGATAAAATGAGAGACTTTCCTGATTTCCAGCTTTGGACATGATTTTATTCCAAAATGAGGTGGGTATGGTTGATGGCGGAGCGGGCACCTGGGCATGGTGGGATGTGACCCTGTCCTTTGCAGGAGGACAGTGAGGTTTGAAACAGACTGAGGAGATACAGGCCTATTTTGTCCCCTGTGTCCTTTCAAGACCATTCATGTGGTCTGTTCCCTTTACTCAGTTTCCCCCTCTCACTTATTCCTGGAGATTTCAGGAATCCCCCAGTCCTGGGCAGGGGCTGAGGATGCTGGGGGGCTCAGAAACCTGTTTTGCAGGGGTTGTGTTGGTGGATCCAGGGGGAAGGACCTGATTCCCGTGTCTCAGCCAATGCTCAGTCAGTCAGTGGCTGGCTGGTGTGTCAGTAGCAAGGCCTGGGCCCTTCTGTGCCCCTGCCTCCCTCAGTTCCCCACCTCACCACCAGAAAAGCAAGTTACAGGGACCCCTCTTGTCGCTAGGGATGTTTTTAATTTAAAAAAATTTTTTTCAGCACTTTGGGAGGCTGAGGCGGGCGGATCACTTGAGTTCAAGACCAGCCTGGTCAACATGGTAAAACCCTGTCTCCACTAAAAATATTTAAAAAGTTAGCAGGGTGTGGTAGCACATGCCTGTAATCCCAGCTACTTGGTAGGCTGAGCTGGGAAAATCATTTGAACCTGGGAGGCAGAGGTTGCAGTGAGCCGAGACTGCGCCACTGCGCTCCAGTCTGGGCAACAGAGCAAAACTCTCTCTCAAAAACTTTTTTTTTTTTTTTTTTTTTTTTTTTTTTTTTTTTTGTGGAGACAGGGTCTTGTGATCTTGCCCAGCCTGGTCTTGAACTCCTGGACTCAAGCAACTCTCTCGCCTTGGCCTCTCAAAACGCTAGGGTTACAGGCATGAGTCACTGCACTCCCAGCCTGCAGTTTTGATTTTTAACCTATCACAATAAGAATCAGAGGTGGACTGGCCCCAGGTCCCTGTCCACAAGCAGAGGTGGGGTGGCCTTGGGCCAGGAGAGCTGGGCTTAGGCAGCCATCTTCCAAATTCCACCCCCACCCCCACAGGCGGCAGAGAGTGGAGAGGGCTCTGCCTGGCAGGGAGAGTCCTTCCCCAGCCTGAGGCTGGACGTTGTCCAGTTGGGTCATCTTTTATCCAAAGCACTGGTTCTGGCCGACTGGGGGCTCCCGGTGTTTTCAGAGATGAAAAACCGGATCAGGTTGGGCACCCCGCCAGTCTGATCGGTGCTCCCAGGGCAGGACCCAAGGGAGTTGAGAGATGAGGGACCACCTCCGACAGCTTGACTGCCACCTCCAGCGGAGCCTGACCTCCCTCTTCCCCTCTGCCCGGTGTGGGGGAGGGGTGTGGAGCGCTCGAGTTCCAGGCTGGGCTGGTGTACACAGAGGGCCAGGGCCTTGCTGCCGGCTCAGCCTTCCCTCGCTGGTTAATCATTGCCAGGCCACAGCCAGACTTTGGTTTCCAATCCCTGGTGCCGAGGCTGTTGGGGGTAGGCCGTGTGTTTTTTCACAGGTGCTACCAAGCGACAGCCAACACGTCTGTTGCAGCTCAGGATCAGGGTGGCAGCCTGACAGTTGCCAGGGTAGGGCTTCACCTTTCTATGGAGTTGCTCCCACCGGCCTGACTGGGAAAAATCTCCCAGGGGTCAGGTCACTGGCCTGGTGCCCCAGGGCCAGGGCTGCTGTGTCTCCTCCCCATCCCAGGCTCCAAGTATGAGACCTGCTGCCTGCGGGGAGGGCAGCCCCTCTCTGTGTTTGCACTCATTGCACATGGGCCCCGAGGGCCTGGCACTCAAGGTGGGCAGGGGATGGTGTCAGGGGATGATGTCCGGCCTTCCAGAGCTTTCCTGAGCCTGCTCGTAGCTATGGAGCCCCGGGCGTGGAGTTCATGGGGCTGCACCGGGAGAACAACGCAGTGACGCAGATCCACCTCCTGCCCAGCCAGGTGAGGGACCTGGGGTGGGACAGGAAGCCACCTCCACACCCTCCTTGCCCTCACTGCTTCCAGCAGGGCTGGTGTGGAGAGGCCGGCATTCATTGGCCCTGGGTTTGCTGCTGATGGAAAAGCCTGGGACCCCCTCCCTTTCCACAGCTGGGGCTCATGGGCCACGCTGGGAGTGGCCAGGGGGTCTTTGAAACAACCAGCCCAGGCTGGGCGGCCCCAGTGTGTAAAGGCCTTGCTGGGTAGCAAGACCACACGCTCCCATCCCTGTGCCCTCGCCAGTGCCAGCTGGTCACCCTGCTAGATGACAACAGCCTGCACCTTTGGAGCCTGAAGGTCAAGGGCGGAGCATCGGAGCTGCAGGAGGATGAGAGCTTCACACTGCGTGGTCCCCCAGGGTAAGGGTTCAGTCCCCAACCCCTTCCACTCCCAGCCCAGCCTGACCCTTGCCCTTAGCTCTGGAGTGGACTCACCCTTCGTGGGGCCTATTGCGCCCCTGGCAGTGCCTGGCATGCGTTTGACCCGATGCATCCCCATACTCAGGTGCTCCGAGTGGAGTGGGTGGGGTCGCAGCCCGCCTCCTTTATCCGCCCACACCCCGTGTTATGCTGGAGGGCCCCTGGCATCTTTCCTACCTCCTAGCCCAGCCTCTCTGCCATCTGTCTCCTGTCTTAGCAGAAAGTGACCAGTGTTTGTCCTGGGCTGAAAAGTTATGAACCCCATGAATTTTTATGGGCTTGTTTTCCCAGGAGTCAGGGGACCCTGTCCATGGGGTCTCCCCTGCTGGGCAGCGGTCAGCTCACGGGCAGCTGTTCTTGTCACAGGGCTGCCCCCAGTGCCACACAGATCACCGTGGTCCTGCCCCATTCCTCATGCGAACTGCTCTACCTGGGCACCGAGAGCGGCAACGTGTTTGTGGTGCAGCTGCCAGCTTTTCGTGCGCTGGAGGACCGGACTATCGGCTCGGACGCGGTGCTGCAGCGGTGAGCCCAGAGCCCGGCTGCTGTTAACCCCATCCCCTCAAGTTAGGCATGGCTTCTCCCCTTGGTCCCAGGACTCTCTCAGGAGCTGTTATTTCTATGCTGGGAATTCCATGGGGCTAGCAGGGGAGGCTCTTGGCTTCCTACCTGTCCCCTATTGAGAACCTATTGGCCTATCATAGGTTAGCATCATAGCACTAAAAAGGGGACTTTGGGGGGTCCCTCGTCTAAAGGCCCCAAATGATTGTGTAATGTCACTGACTCTCAGTCCAGTGTCCTTTGCACTTGCCATGGGTTTCAAAACCCCAGGGGCTCCATAGCGGGGAAGTTGAGCCCAGACCTCCCTACATCACTGGAGCAGCTCCTGGTGCCACCCTGTGCTGTGGGCACTTTGCTGAGGTTCCATTTGCTCGCAGGCTCCGTGGCTAAAAAGCCTTGACTGCCACAGGCATGTGGGTCTGTTGAGATCATTTCAGAAGCTTTGCTCCTTGTCGATGGAACTATGATAGAGAGGGAGTCGGATCAGGTCCGGTTGTGGAGAATGGGATGGGACCCAAAAAAAGAGGGGATAGCGTCTGACAGGATCATGTGGGGGCCAGGTTACTTGTGGAATGATCTGTGGTTCCAAGGGGCAGGAGGAAGCCAGGGTGCTGGCCCCTGGCCCTGCAAGGCTTTGGACTGGGCCCAGGACACACTCCTGCAGCTGGCCAGCCCATCTCTCCCCCGCTGGGTGGTAATGAAGCAGGGACCATCTGCCCAGGGCAGGGCATTGCTGGGCTGGGAGGATCCCACTTGGGGCTATATCCCTCTGAGTGCAGACCTCTGCCTTTCCGGTTCAGCAGGGTAGGGCTGTGTGCCCAAGGTCAGAGCAGAACACTTTGCAGGATGACAAGTACCACAATGGGACACAGCCTGTGGGCAGGACGGCATGGGATGTGCACCCCAGCAGGTGGCCACACCAGTGCCTAGCCTCACCCTGTAGTTAGTTGGTTAGAGTCTAGTTGGCAGGGGGGCCCTTGTGCCCTGAGAGCCCCTCCTGCCAGTTTATTTTATTTTGTATTATGTTTTATTTTATTTTTGAGATGGAGTTTCTCTCTTGTTGCCCAGGCTGGGGTGCAGTGGCACGATCTTAGCACACTGCAGCCTCTGCTTCCTGTGTTCAAGCGATTCTCCTGCCTCAGCCTCCCAAGTAGCTGGGATTACAGGCATGTGCCACCACGCTGGCTAATTTTGTATTTTTTGTAGAGACGAGGTTTCACCATGTTGGTCAGACTAGTCTCAAACTCCTGACCTCAGGTGATCTGCCTGCCTCAGCCTCCCAAAGTGCTGGGATTACAGGCATGAGCCACAGCGCCTGGCCCAGTTCGTTTATTTATTTTAAAAAAAAAAACATTTTTTTTTGACAGAGAGTCTTACTCTCTCCCAGGCCGGAGTACAGTGGCACGATCTCAGCTCATCGCAACCTCTGCTTCCCGGATTCAAATGATTCTCCTGCCTCAGCCTCCCGAGTAGCTGGGATTACAGGCTTGAGCTACCGCACCCGGCCTGTTTTTGTATTTTTAATAAAGACGGGATTTCACCATGTTGGCCAGGCTGCTCTTGAACTCCTGACCTCAGATGATCCACCCACTTCCGCTTCCCAAAGTGTTGGGGTTACAGGTGTGAGCCACTGCGCCCGGCCCCTTTTGGCAGTTTACATTCTCGTCCACTTGATGACGCTTATCTAAGTTTTGAAAACGTCTAGCCCTTTAGTGTTGCAGCTCTGTCTCTGAGAAGTCTCTGTGTAAAGATACAGGATAACAATGATCATTGTAGGGCTGTTTTTAATGGCAAAAAGTTGGAAGCCCTCTAATTGTCTAATAATTTTCATTTGTATAAGGGCATTATTTGCATTTATTAAGAATATCTAGATGGGCACAGTTGCTCACACTTGTAATCTCGGCCCTTTTGGAGACTGAGATGGGAGGGTTGCTTGAGGCCAGGAATTTGAGACCAGCCTGGGCAACATAGCAAGACCCTGTCTCTCCCCACAAAAAAATAAAAATTAATTGGGCAAGGTGGCACACGCCTGTGGTCTTAGCTACTTGGGAGGTGAGAGGATCACTTGAACCCAGGAGTTGGAGGCTGCAGTGAGCCATGATCAGGTCACTACCCTCCAGCCTGAGTGACAGAATGAGATCCTGTCTCTAAAAAAATTAAAAATTAGGCCAGGTGCAGTGGCTCACACCTATAATCCCAGCACTTTGGGAGACGGAGATGGGTGGATCGCCTGAGGTCAGGAGTTCGAGACCAGCCTGGCCAACATCGCGAAATCCCGTCTCTACTAAAAATACAAAAAATTAGCCTGGCATGGTCGTGGGTGCCTGTAATCTCAGATACTCGGGAGGCTGAACCAGGAGAATCACTTGAACCCAGGAGGTGGAGGTTGTAGTGAGCCGAGGTTGCACCACTGCACTCCAGCCTGGGCAACAGAGCGAGACTCCATCTCAAAAAAAAAAAATTAAAAATTAAATATTAAAGTCCCCTTCAACTCTCACTCTCGATTCAGATTCTAATGTCAGTGAGGTCAGTGCTAGCAGTAGATGAGCCAGGTATAGATAATGTGGAGAGCTTGGGTTTAGTGTGGCTTGGGTCCAGGCTGGGTCCACTTCCCACATCCTCGCTGTTGGCTGTTGGTCCTGTGCCTGCTGCCTTGTGGTTTTTTTGTTGGCTGCAACACCTCCAGCCCTCAGGTCAGCATTCCAGGGCTGGAGACGGGGGAGGGGTCAAGGCTCCAGGGCCAGGCCAACTCACAGAGTTTTGTTTTATGGGGCTAAAAAACTTCTTTATTATTAAATACTCCCTTTTGCAAAAATGCACTGAATATGAATGTACAGTTTAACAGATTCTTGTAGAGCATCCTTACAGCCATCCCCGCAGACATAGAAAGAGAACTTTGATGCCCTCCGGGGGCCTCACGCACCCTTCCTAGTCAAGGCTCCCTCTTGCCCCCACATTGACTTTTCCAGAAGTCACTGCCTTGCCTTGCCTTATAGTTGTACCGCCTGTGTTTACATCACTGGAGGTTGTCTCCACGTCCCTGTCTTGTTCTACATGCTGCCCCCTATCCCCTTGGTGACATGTCCTAGCCATCTTTCCTTTTTTTTTTTGAAATGGAGTCTCACTCTGTCACCCAGGCTGGAGTGCAGTGGCGTGATCTCGGCTCACTGTGATCTCTGCCTCCTGGGTTCAAGCAATTCTCCTGCCTCCACCTCCGGCGTAGCTGGGATTACAGGCATGTGCCACCACGCCTGGCTAATTTTTTGTATTTTTAGTAGAGACAGGGTTTTGCCATGTTGGCCAGGCTAGTCTCGAACTCCTGACCTCAAGTGACGTGCCCACCTTGGGCTCCCAAAGTGCTGGGATTACAGGCATAAGCCACCACACTCAGCCATCCACCGCACCCAGCCCCTAGCCATATTTCCATGCTGGCACATGGAGCAGCCACCTCTGCATAGGGAGCCCTATGGCTGTGCCATGCTGGGGGCCATTCACCCTGGCGGATGGCATCGGAGGCTCACGGCACTCCCCTCGCCCAGGTTGCCAGAGGAGGCCCGCCACCGGCGGGTGTTTGAGATGGTGGAGGCGCTGCAGGAGCACCCTCGAGACCCCAGCCAGATCCTGATCGGCTACAGCCGAGGTCTTGTTGTCATCTGGGACCTGCAGGGCAGCCGTGTGCTCTACCACTTCCTCAGCAGCCAGGTAGGCAGTGCCCAGGACATGGCGGGCGCCGTGTTGCTCTCCCAGGGCCCCATGTGGCGCATACGCACTCTGTGCAGAGGCATGGGGTGCATTCGATGGGAATGCTGCCTCGGTCCAGCGTGCTGCCCTCTGTCTCTCTCCTCCTCCTCCATAGCAACTGGAGAACATCTGGTGGCAGCGGGACGGCCGCCTGCTCGTCAGCTGTCACTCCGATGGCAGCTACTGCCAGTGGCCCGTGTCCAGCGACGCCCAGCAACCAGAGCCCCTCCGCAGCCTCGTGCCTTACGGTCAGTGTTTCACCCGCCGGGCAGGGCCCACCCCCGGTGCCTCCTGGATTCAGGTGCAGGATGCTCAACTCTGAAGCAAACTCCAGGGCAAGAGAGGGTAAAGGCTTTGTCCAAAGCCACACAGCAGGGTTCCCCTCACCCAGTTTCTTGGGGGAACTTCTCAGAGCAAGAGTCCCAAGCACAGGTCTACCATGTGGATGTGGGCATGAGCTTTGAGGCGTCTGTGCCTGTGGGGACTGACACTTGTCTGAGAGTTGGAGGATCCGTTCAAGCCGATTCCTTTCCTTTCAGGTCCCTTTCCTTGCAAAGCGATTACCAAAATCCTCTGGCTGACCACTAGGCAGGGGTAGGTATCCGTGCTGGTCTTCTTTCCTTTCCAGAGCCTTCCTAGAGGGCTGGAAAGGTCACTTAGGCCTCTGCCTGGGAAGATGGTGCCAGTGAACACTCTCAGGTCCCATGTTGGGGTCTTGGACAACAGGGAGAGGAGAGAGGGTAGATGCTATTCACGTCTTTCAGCGGCCCAATTCCTGCCAAGTTCATTCCTGCTCCTTCCTTCCACCCTCCCAGAGAGACGGTGCTGAGCGGCAGGTCTCAAACTTCTTTAGTGGCAGCCCTGTTTCTTCTGACAAAATCACTCTGGATGATGTTCAAACAGAAATGGGGGGAGGGCCGGGCGCGGTGGCTCAAGCCTGTAATCCCAGCACTTTGGGAGGCCGAGATGGGCGGATCACGAGGTCAGGAGATCGAGACCATCCTGGCTAACACGGTGAAACCCCGTCTCTACTAAAAATACAAAAAACTAGCCGGGCAAGGTGGCGGGCGCCTGTAGTTCCAGCTACTCGGGAGGCTGAGGCAGGAGAATGGCGTGAACCTGGGAGGTGGAGCTTGCAGTAAGCTGAGATCCGGCCACTGCACTCCAGCCTGGGCGACAGAGCGAGACTCCGTCTCAAAAAAAAAATAATAATTGGGGGGAGCACCCAGCTTGAGGCAGGAGTGGCTGCCGAGACTCAGAGCCACCATCCTGGATGCCTCACCTTACCCCCAAGTACTCCTGGGCTGTAGCAGTTGGAAGGAGATGGGGTCCAGTCCCCCCTGCTCCTGGGGACCTTGACTGAGTGGTCACTTTGATCGCTGGTCTATGGCTGTTGAGGCCGTGCCAGGAGCCCCAGCCCACTGCTGCTTCTCTGTGCCTGCCAGGTTGCCCTTCACCATCTTCCAGGGCGGCATGCCACGGGCCAGCTACGGGGACCGCCACTGCATCTCAGTGATCCACGATGGCCAGCAGACGGCCTTCGACTTCACCTCCCGTGTCATCGACTTTACTGTCCTCACAGAGGCGGACCCTGCAGCCGGTAGGAGAGCTTCAGAAGTGGGTACCCAGGGTTAGGTGTGGGAGGTGTGGGGCAGGGCCATCAGTAAAGACAGGGCCAGGTGCAGTGGCTCCTGCCTGTAACCCCAGCACTTTGGGAGGCCAAGGTGGGAGGATCGCTTGAGCCCAGCAGTTCAAGTCCAGCCTGGACAACACAGGGAGACCCTTGTCTCTACAAAAAATAAAAAAATTAGCTGGGTGTCGTGGCACATACCTGTAGTGCCAGCTACTCAGGAGGCTGAGGTGGGAGGATCACTTGAGCCCGGGAGGTGGAGGTTGCAGCAAGCCAGGAGCATCAGGAGCATGCCACTGCACTCAGCCTGAGTGACATAGCCAGACCGTGTCTCCAAGAAAAAAAAAAGGGGCTCTGCACAGGTGTTCCTAAGCCTACCACTGTCCTGAGTCCGTTAGCCTTACTGCACCCCAAGGTGAAGTGTCATCAAGGCCTACAGCTCCTTTCTCTGCCTCCCTGCCACCCTCCCCAGCTAGAGACCCAGCCCAGCCACACCTCCTGCCTGCCCCGGGCTCTCTGCCCTTTCCAGACTGTAATGGCACTTAGCCCACAGGGAGCTGATCCGTACTGTTGGATTTAACACCCACCCCACTGAGGCAAAAGGGTCCTAGCTTAGAGATGGCAAAGCCCGCCTTCTGGGCAGGGCAGAAGGTGGCTGTGCAGCCTCCTGAAGCTCCAGCAGGACTGGCAGAGCCCTGAGTCAGCCTCGTAAATAGTGTGACAGGCAAGACCAGAAAGGGCTGCTGTTGAAACCTGGAGAGGAGGCCTGCAGGAACTCTCCAGGAGGGAGGGCCCTCTCCTAATGACGCTGGCCTGAAAGGGCCTGAGGCCGAAAGGTGAGGGGGCGGGGCTGTTCAGGACACCTGGTCTGTGTACTCACGGCCTCTACCCTGTTCAGGGGAACCCCAAACCTGCTTTTCTTTCTTTCTCAGCCTCTCTTCCCTCCTCACACCCTGGATGCTGAGAGCAAGGCCCAGCTCTGCTCTTTCCACAACATTTGGGCCATGTTGGCACAGAGCAGGGGCCTCTTGGGCTATGGTGGCCACACTCCCTGGGCTGAGTTACCTGATTCCCAGCGGAAAGGTCAGGAAGGGAGGGGAGAAACTTGCTGAGCTACAAATTTGAGACTGCTGGGGCTTTCTAGGACAGGCCACCTTCCTGCAGTTGTCCCTCTGTGTCCCCAACTCCCCGCAGTCCGGCAGGCCAGGAGATGGGTACCTGATGAGTGGTGCTTCCCTCAGATGATACATGGGCACCCTGAGGCTCTCCCATGATGGTTCTGCCGTGCCGGGTTGTGACCCAGCTGGCCTTGGTAGGCTTTCCTGTTTAATGAGCAACTGCTACATGCCAGGCCCTGTTCTAGAAACAGAGGGGGCCCCTGTTCCCATGGAACATAGATCTGAGTATGTGGACAGAGTGAGCAGGTTGCCAAATAACGTCAGAGGTAAGAAAAAAGCCAGGCAGAGGACAGCAGTGCTGGTTTAGACAAGGGTTAGCAAGGCGTCCCTGATAAGAGGACATATTTGCGCAGACACAGGAACAGTCTGAGAGAGGGCTTGCCCCGTAGGGACCTGGGGTGCAGACTGAGCTGGGAGGGCTCTTGGCTTGCTCCAGTGAGGTAGGGGCGAAGAGAGGGCAGAATGGCCCCTGTACGGGTCCAGATGTGGCCAGCGCCAGATCGTATAGAGCCGTGGAGGCACGGTAAGGACTTAGGATTTTAGGGAGATGAGGGCCCTGAGCAGGGGTGCCACGATCTAGCCTCTGCTCCAAAAGGATCTGTCTGGCTGCCATGTGGGGAACAGAGTGGAGCAAAGACGGGAGCCCCGTGAGAGTCGAGGGAGAGGTGACCTCGGCTTGGGCTGCGGTGCCGGCCGTGGGGCTGACAGAAGGTGGCTGGGGTTACATTGTCTTTTCTAACATTCAACATTGGCCGAGGGGCCGGGCCAGGGCTCCCAGACTGTTGCTGTAAAGTGCTGGGTGGCTTTCTCCACCGCAGCTACTCAGCCTAATGCCATTGCAGAGCACGTGCAGCCACAGACAACACAAGGGGTGTATCTGTGTTCCAGGACAGCCCTATTGACAGGAAGAGGCAGGAGGCCAGATTTGGCCCTCGGGCTGTAATTTGTTGGCTCTTTGTCTAGGGAGCGGTGAGTAAGGGGAGGAGAGATCAGTCAAGGATGACATGAGGGTTCACTGGGAGCACCAGGAATCCTGGAGAAGGTAGTGGCAAGAGGGTGTGGCAAGCTCAGCTGGGCGGGAATCAAATCTGAGGACTTAGTCTCTCCTCTGATCTCCAGACCCATAAGGGAGATGCCGAGTACACAGCTGGGGCTTATGGGTCTGGAGTTCAGAGGAGAGATCGGGAAGGTGTCCATTTGGAGTCATCCATGCAGAGACGTGTGAAGGCTGCTCAATGATTTTGAAGTTTAAAGAAGAAAAAAGAGGCCAGGCGCGGTGGCTCACACCTATAATCCCAGCACTTTGGGAGGCCGAGACAGGCGGATCACGAGGTCAGGAGATCAAGACCATCCTGGCTAACACAGTGAAATCCCGTGTCTACTAAAAATACAAAAAAAAAAAAATAGCCAGGTGAGGTGGCAGGCACCTGTAGTCCCAGCTACTTGGGAGGCTGAGGCAGGAGAATGGCGTGAACCCGGGAGGCGGAGCTTGCAGTGAGCTGAGCTCATGCCACTGCACTCCAGCCTGGGTGACAGAGCAAGACTCCGTCTCAACAAAAAAAAAAAGAAAAGAAAAAGAGAGAGATGTGAAACCAGGGGTCCTGATGAGGCTGCCCAGGTGGTGAGGAAGACAGAAGAGAAGGCATGGGAAAGCTGAGCCCGGGCACCCTCAAGCCTTGGAGGCATGGAGTTTGGTGGGGATCTGGCCAAGAACACCTGGGAGCAGCCAGCGGGCAGCAGACCCCAGAGGAGCAGGGAGGACAAGCGCTTCAAAGAGGCAGCGTCAGCCAGGGGCAGTGGCTCAGCTGTAATCCTAGCACTTTGGGAGGCCGAGGAGGGCAGATCACCTGAGGTTAGAGGTTTGAGACCAGCCTGGCCAACATGGTGAAACCCTGTCTCTACTAAAAATACAAAATTAGTCAGGCGTTGGTGGCACGTGTCTGTAATCCCAGCTACTCGAGAGGCTGAGGCAGGAGAATCACTTGAACCTGGGAGGCAGAGGTTGTGGTGAGCCAAGATCATGCCATTGCACTCCAGCCTGGGCAACAAGAGCGAAACTCCATCTCAGAAAAAATAAAAAAGAAAAACACAAAACTTAGCCAGGCGTGGTGGTGGGCGCCTGTAATCCCAGCTACTCAGGAGGCTGAGGCAGGAGAATCGCTTGAACCCTGGAAGCAGAGGTTGCAGTGAGCCGAGATCGCACCACTGCACTCCAGCCTGGGTGACAGAGCAAGACTCCATCTCAAAAAAAAAAGAGAAAAAAAAGCCTGGGCATGGTGGCTCATGCCTGTAATCCCAGCATTTTGGGAGGCCGAGGTGGGCAGATCACTTGAGCCCAGGAGTTCAACACCAGCCTGAGCGACATGGCGAAACCCAGTCGCTACCAAAAACACAAAAGTTAGCTGGGTATCATGGCTCACACCTGTAATCCCAGCTACTTGGGAGCCTGAGGCTAGAAGATCGCTTGAACCGGGAGGTGGAGGTTGCAATGAGCCAAGATCACACCACTATGCTCTAGCCTGGGCAACAGAGTGTAAGACCCTGTCTCAAGAAAAGAAAAGAAAAAAAATAAATAAAAACACAAATGGTTTCATCGTCCAGTGCACATTTATTGAACACTAGCTGGGGCCAGGCCTGAGTGAGGTGAGGTGATTGTGTGCAGTAAAGTAAATGCCACCCCTAGCAACTGGTGTGCCGAAGACCACGCTTGCCACTGCCTGTGGGGAGAGGCTTGGCAGGCGCATCTGAGCAGGGAGAGCAGGTGCCATGGAGGAGGAACCAGGGAAGAGGGTTGGCAGGCACAGCTCCTTGCCTCTGGGGTGCCTATCCTGGTTGGGACCCTGCCTTCCAGCCAGGTGTATCCCCTCCAGGAGCCCTGTGCCAGGTAGCTCTCAGCAGCTTTGCACACAGAGCCAGAGCTGCTGCCCACACCTGCTGCCCTCCTGGAAGTGGAAAGGCTTTGCTCAAGCAGCCAAGAACAGGGCTTTCTGGATCTGCAGATGTCCTGGCTCCAACCCTGGAGCTTCTGATTCCGCAGGGCTGGGCTGCTTCCTCCTGGCCCCAGCCCCTGATCCTTGGCCTGTACCCCAGCCTTTGACGACCCCTATGCCCTGGTGGTGCTGGCTGAGGAGGAGCTGGTGGTGATTGACCTGCAGACAGCAGGCTGGCCACCGGTCCAGCTGCCCTACCTGGCTTCCCTGCACTGTTCCGCCATCACCTGCTCCCACCACGTCTCCAACATCCCCCTGAAGCTGTGGGAGCGGATCATTGCCGCCGGCAGCCAGCAGAACGCACACTTCTCCACCATGGTAGGTCCGGCCCTGGCCCAGCCCCACGCCAAGCCCCACCCCAAGACAAACTCTCCCACAGACTTCTTGGTCTCTTTCTCTAGGAGTGGCCAATTGACGGTGGCACCAGCCTGACCCCAGCCCCACCCCAGAGGGATCTGCTGCTTACAGGGTAGGGGACTTCGACACCACCCTTCCTCTCCCCAGGAGGATGTGTGGGGGTGGGTGCAGAGCCCTGAAGTGGACGAGCCAGCCCCTGGGTGCCTGGGCCGGCGTCCCTCTCATGCCCGGCAGATGGGCTCTGCCCACAGGCACGAGGATGGCACAGTGCGGTTCTGGGATGCCTCAGGTGTCTGCTTGCGGCTGCTGTACAAACTCAGCACAGTGCGCGTGTTCCTCACTGACACGGACCCCAACGAGAACCTCAGTGCCCAGGGCGAGGACGAGTGGCCCCCACTCCGCAAGGTGAGGCCAGGAGCCTGGGACCCGGGAAGGGCAGAGGCCAGCTGGGTCCAGCCCCCATGGCCGCTCAGAGGGCCCCTCCCCTTCTCCAGGTGGGCTCCTTTGACCCCTACAGTGATGACCCCCGGCTGGGCATCCAGAAGATCTTCCTCTGCAAGTACAGTGGCTACCTGGCTGTGGCAGGCACGGCAGGGCAGGTAGCAGGCTGGGCCGGGGAGGGGAGCTGGGGAGGAGTGGTGGATGACGGGGACCAGCAGGGACAGGAGCCAGCCACCTGCCTGACGCACATTCTGTGTCCTGTGCTCTTCCAGTGGACGGAGGTGGTTTGATCCCCTTGGCAGGAGGTCCCTGGGACGGTTGTTTCTTCTCCAGAAATCAGAATTAAGGGTGGGCCGGGCATGGTGGCTCACGCCTATAATCCCAGCACTTTGGGAGACCAAGGCAGGCGGATCACCTGAGGTCAGGAGTTCGAGACCAGCCTGGACAACATGGTGAAACCTTGTCTCTACTAAAAATACAAAACTTAGCCAGGCGTGGTGGTGTGTGCCTGTAGTCCCAGCTACTGGAAGGTTGAGGCAGGAGAATCACTTGAACCCAGGAGGCAGAGGTTGCAGTGAGCCAAGGTCGTGCCACCGCACTCCAGCCTAGGCAACAGAGCAAGACTCGTCTCAAAAAAATAAATAAATAAAAAATAATTAAGAGCTGAGGTTGGACGGAGGCCTCTCCCTGCTTGAGCCTTGGGCCTTGGCCTGGGTTCAGCTCCTTTGCTGTCCCCACTAGTAGCGTCCTGCGGCCCTGCCGTCCCTTTGCTGAGGGCTTGCTGAGCCGCCTGCCACCCCGCCCAGGTGCTGGTACTGGAACTGAATGATGAGGCAGCGGAGCAGGCCGTGGAGCAGGTGGAGGCCGACCTGCTGCAAGACCAAGAGGGCTACCGCTGGAAGGGGCACGAGCGCCTGGCAGCCCGCTCAGGGCCTGTGCGCTTTGAGCCTGGCTTTCAGCCCTTCGTGTTGGTGCAGTGCCAGCCCCCGGCTGTGGTCACCTCCTTGGCCCTGCACTCTGAGTGGCGGCTCGTGGCCTTCGGCACCAGCCATGGCTTTGGCCTCTTTGACCACCAGCAGCGGCGGCAGGTCTTTGTTAAGTGAGCAGGGCAGCTGGGGCCGGGGGCTGGGAGTGGGGCTCGCGAGGACCCCCAGGACCTAGCAGCATTGACAGCCTGCCATCCCCCCAAGGTGCACGCTGCACCCCAGTGACCAGCTGGCCTTGGAGGGCCCATTGTCCCGCGTCAAGTCCCTCAAGAAGTCCTTGCGTCAGTCATTCCGCCGGATGCGTCGGAGCCGGGTGTCCAGCCGGAAGCGGCGCCCGGCTGGCCCCCCAGGAGAGGTAAGGCCCAAGGGGAGGTTGCGGCTGGCCACCCACCCAGGTTCGGCTCAGAGCAGCCAGCAGGGGTCACACGGCCCCTGCTCCCCAGGCTTGACGGGCTACAAACAAGACTCAGGGTCCAGGTCTCATGGGTTTGCTGCCATGTGCGACCTCAGACAGGTCACGCTGCTTCTCTCTGCCTCAGCTTCCTGAGCAGAAAGGCAGTAACTGTAATGCTTACCCTAGAACTAATCCCCAGGAAATGTCAGCCTTCTGATGCAAGGGTTGGCATTGAGCAAAGCACTGTCCCTGGGGAGGGGAGGCCAGAGCTGACCCTCAGGCTGGCCCACCCCTTGCAGGTGCAGGAGGGGAGCGCCAAGACTGAGCGGCTGGGCCTCCAGAACATGGAGCTGGCACCTGTGCAGCGCAAGATCGAGGCTCGCTCGGCAGAGGACTCCTTCACAGGCTTCGTCCGGACCCTGTACTTTGCTGACACCTACCTGAGGGACAGTGAGTGACCAGCCCGGGATTGAGGGGTCGGGGGCAGTAGATACCCCCTGACCCGGGGGCATGCCGGGGGCTGCTGCCTGCCTGGCTGGTAGGACCTAAGAGGGTTTCCCCTTGTGAGCAGGGGCAGACTGCAGCCCCTGCCTGCTTCCTCCTCTCCCCTGCCTGGGCCTCCAAGTCAGCTTGCCTTGGCTTTATATCCAGGCTGTAGCACCCTTTAGAAGCATGGCCTCCGACCCGTCACTTGGCCTTTCAGGGCCTCAGCTTGCCCCTCTGTAAAATGAGGGAGCGATAGCTTCCTCCTAGAGCAGCTGTGACAATTGGGGATGGCAGAGCCTACTGGCCTCTGGAGAACGTGCCTCTCCCTGGCTGCTTCTCCCCTGCTGTATTGCAGCAAGGGCTGAGCTGACCTGGGATTGGGGTGTTCTGTGTTGCGGCCTGTGTGGTTGTCAGAGAGCCTTCCAGCCTCTCCCAGGAGGGAAAACCTGGGAGTCAGCCCTGGTTGCCCAGCTCCACCCGACTCCCACGCCAAGGGTCAGACACCCAAACATGGCTTCTCGGCAGGCTCCCGCCACTGCCCCTCGCTGTGGGCTGGCACCAACGGGGGCACCATCTATGCCTTCTCCCTGCGTGTGCCCCCCGCTGAGCGGAGAATGGATGAGCCTGTGCGGGCAGAGCAGGGTGAGTGCTGGGCAGGGAAAGCAGAGGGTGCTCGGGCTGCCTGGGCTAGGTCCAGGGAGTGGCTCCAGCCCCACCACCCCCCACAGTCCCACTACCCACCTCCTCCCCGTAGCCAAGGAGATCCAGCTGATGCACCGGGCGCCGGTGGTGGGCATCCTGGTGCTCGACGGACACAGCGTACCCCTTCCCGAGCCCCTCGAAGTGGCCCATGATCTGTCGAAGAGCCCTGACATGCAGGGAAGCCACCAGCTGCTCGTTGTGTCGGAGGAGCAGTTCAAGGTGCCACACGGGCAGCGGCGGGTCTCCCTGGGACTCCCCGGGACATCCAGGAGGCTCGGACCTTGGGCACAAACGATGGCTGGGACTCACCTTGTTTGCATTGGTATCTGAGGGGCTGCAGAAGCACAGGAAATAAGGGAGGGGGGAGTCTCATGTGAGGACACTGAGGCAGGACCTATGTCTGTGGAAGGGATAAAATCCAGATGGGGGGCCAGGCTCATGCCTATAATCCCAGCACTTTGGGAGGCCAAGGCACATTGGGAGGCCAGATCACAAGGTCAGGAGTTCAAGACCAGCCTGACCAACATGATGAAACCCCAACTCTACTAAAAATACAAAAAATAGTAGCCCGGTGTGGTGGCGGCCGCCTGTAATCCCAGCTCTACTCGGGAGACTGAGGCAGGAGAATTACTTGAGGCGGAGGCTGCAGTAAGCCGAGATCATGCTGCTGTACTTCAGCCTGGGCAACAGAGCAAGACTCTATCTCAGAAAAAAAAAAAAAGGCTGGGCACGGTGGCTTCCACCTGTAATCCCAGCACTTTGGGAGGCCGAGGCAGGCAGATCACGAGGTCAGGAGATCAAGACCATCCTGGCTAACGCGGTGAAACCCCATCCCTACTAAAAATACAAAAATTTAGCCGGGCGTGGTAGCGGGCGCCTGTAATCCCAGCTACTTGGGAAGCTGAGGCAGGAGAATGATGTGAACCTGGGAGGCGGAGCTTGCAGTGAGCCGAGATCACACCACTGCACTCCATCCAGCCTGGGTGACAAAGCAACTCTGTCTCAAAAAAAAAAAAAAAAATTCCAGACAGGGAAGTCAGTGACCTCGGCATCCCCCCAGGCTGTGTCTGTGCATCTGAGAGCCAAGGGTTTGCCAGGACACCGGGAGGCATGCGGGGAGGGGAGGGCCCAGCACCTACAGCACTGCGCAGGAGAACTGGTTTGGCCATGGGCGTGAACGACCACCCCGCACCCCCAGGTGTTCACGCTGCCCAAGGTGAGTGCCAAGCTGAAGCTGAAGCTGACGGCCCTGGAGGGCTCAAGGGTGAGGCGGGTCAGCGTGGCCCACTTCGGCAGTCGTCGAGCTGAGGACTATGGGGAGCACCACCTGGCAGTCCTCACCAATCTGGGTGACATCCAGGTGGTGTCGCTGCCACTGCTCAAGCCCCAGGTGCGCTACAGCTGCATCCGCCGGGAGGACGTCAGTGGCATCGCCTCCTGCGTCTTCACCAAATATGGCCAAGGTGTTCGAGCTGGGCTGGGCGGGTGTGGGGGCCCCAGGCACTGCAGGGACGGGAAGGGTGGCCAGGGGTGTTGTGGCCATGGCCAGACTGGATGGGCCTTAAGCGGAGAACTGCGAGGGAACGCTAGCCCCTACTCCCCCAGGTGGGGAAGCAGTGTTGGCAGCCACCAGGCCAGGCCACCAGCATTGCCCCTACTCCCCAGGCTTCTACCTGATCTCACCCTCGGAGTTCGAGCGCTTCTCTCTCTCCACCAAGTGGCTGGTGGAGCCCCGGTGTCTGGTGGATTCAGCAGAAACCAAGAACCACCGCCCTGGTAATGGGGCAGGCCCCAAGAAGGCGCCGAGCCGAGCCAGGTGAGTGAAAGGGCCAGAGGCCCCTCCTGCCCCTCCCTGCCCTCTCTGAGATACCCTGAGGCTCCCACTGCTGCCTGGCCAGAGACACCTCCCAACAAGCTCAGCCCACCCTCCTAGGCTCTGGCTCTCTGTACCTCTTCGCGTGCCCCTTGCCCCTGTGCAAGCTGGCAGTCCAGGGCAGGGCTCAGTTTACCTCCCAGGCTCTCCTGCTCAGGGCAGGCTGCACCATTGACTTTGTTCTTCATGGGACCAGGGCTCTCAGAGCTGGGCAGGGAGCCCAGAGGCCCTGGTCCTTACTGTCTCTCTCCCCACAGGAACTCAGGGACTCAGAGTGATGGCGAGGGTAAGACAGGCCTCCTGGGCCCATGCACACCTGGGCCACACCCAGCCGAGACCTGGGGCTGGACGGGAGGGACGGGGTCCTGAGTGAGCAGGTAGTGTTTGGGCTGGGAGCAGAGACGGCATTCCTTCCAGCCCTGGGCTTCCACATCCCGACCTCAGTAAGGAGAGAGCCAGGCCCAGGAGGGCCCAGGCGGGGCTCCCTGACCCGGCCTCTACCTTCCAGAGAAGCAGCCCGGCTTGGTGATGGAGCGCGCTCTGCTCAGTGATGAGAGTGAGTTGGGTGGGAGAGGGTGGGGCTGGCAGGAGGGGTGGGGAAGGGGGGATCAGGGTCAAGGGAGGCTGGGCAGGCCGTTACCCTGAGGCAGGGGACAGATCCATCCAGCACCCATGGTGAAAGGGGGTGGAAAGGCTGTGGCTGGCCGCCCCAAGGGCCTCAGTGGGCCTCTGTTCCCACCCGGCCTGCAGGAGTCCTGAAGGAAATCCAGAGCACACTGGAGGGAGACCGTGGGTGAGGCACCGCCCAGGCTGGCTGGGGTGGGCCCAAGGCTCTGCCATGGGGCTCGGGAGCGCTGGGAGTGGAGGCCCCCTGAGGTTATGACTCCCCTGTCTTTGCCCATGCAGGAGCCTCAACTGGCATTCACATCGAGCGGCCATGGGGCGCAGCCTCAGCAATGGCGGAGGTGGGGGCTCTGGGCTTGAGTGCAGTTGCCGGATGTGTGGGAAGGGATGGGAGGAAGAGCCCTGGCCCCACTCCCCTGGATTCCACAGGGCCGTACACGTGCCCTGATGACCTGGAAAGCACCATGTCTGGGCTCAGTGTGGGTGGCTGGGGCACCCCGTCCTGCCCAGGGCAATCCTGAGCTGTCCCTGTGTGTCCTTCAGCAGAGTGAGTGGCTGAGCGGCCAGGCTGCACGATGAGCACACACTACTACTGATGGCCTTTTGGAGGTCCCTGCCCCAGCCAGAGAGGCCGGTGCACAGGGCCACACCAGGGGATAGGGGCGCCCCAGCTTCCACAATGCAGCTGCTCCAGGCCTTGGGAGAGGAGAGGTCCCGGCCCCTAGGGCTGCCCTTCCCGGGCCTCGTCTGTCTGGGTCCTTTGGTCAATGTTGCACAGTTTTTATTGCCCCCATCCCTTTTTGTAGTGGGCTGGGGTTTAAGTTATACATGGTAACTGCCTCTGGGTGAAAAAGTTTTTAATAAACACCTATTACCTCTTCACTGGACTGGTCCACCTACTTTAATATTGCAATTGTGTAGAAATTTTCCATGTGAATACAAAGTGGGAGCCGGTACCCTGCCTGTCCCCCGAGGCTCTAGCCCTGGCCTGGGCTGGCGTCAGGAGAATCCACTTTGGGAGTCGTGTGAATCAAACTGCTTAGTTGTGTCTGAGCCCGGCTGTGCCTTCCCTCTCTGGGAACACATAGCAAGCACGAACCATCTTGAGTCTGCCTTACTTGTTTCCCTGGGTCCTGGCCACCCCTGGCTGGCCTTACCCTACTGTCAGGAGGAGAAGGGTACCCCAGTATCTCAGACCTGTTGACTTCCTCCAGACACCAGGGAGGACTGTGGGGTGCTGCTGAAGGGGAGGTGGTCCCCAAGGAGAAAGGCCTCCCCCAGGGGAGAGGCTGGGTTATTTAGATTGGACATGGGTTGGATCTTTATTGGCTCGTCTTCGTTGAGCACCTACTGTATGGCCAGTGCGTGGGATTCTCTAGTGTCTGAGACAACTGTGGTTCCTGCCACAGTTGGGGCTCATGGTCCTCAGTGGACACTGGTGAGAAACGCACCGGGGGGGTGACCTGAGAGAACCAGGAATTGCCAGAGAGCAGGCAGACTCTTCCAGACAGAGGACAAGAGGGCTCAGCAGCACTCCAGGAACTCACTCACCGTGGGAGGCAGTGGAGAGCTGAAGGTGGCTGGCAGGCAGGGCCGAAAGTGAGGCCAGACTAGGGAGGCCCAGTGAGGGCCAGGTGTGACAGGCGCCTGCTCTGCCTGAGTGAGGAAAGGCCTGTCCGGAGGAGTTGGGCACCAGGTGTTCCATCTGGCCATGTCCATCTCGAGATGGCCACTTGACCATCCCTTGTTAGACTTCTGAGATGAGCAACTCGGGAACTATGAGGAATATGGGGGAGCAGTTCCCCAAAGGGAGAGGAACACCATGCTGGAAGAAGCAGGGAAGGGACAGTGCCTGGCAGACAGACCAGCCAAAGAGATGGGGGACACCTCATGAGACACCTGTATTAGTCCCTTTCCATACTGTTATAAAGAACGAGAGGCGGCTGGGCACAGTGGCTCACATCTGTAATCCCAGCATTTTGGAAGGCTGAGGTGGGCAGATCACTTGAAGTCAGGAGTTCAAGACCAGCCTGGTCAACATGGTTAAACCCTGTCTCTACTAAAAATGCAAAAATTAGCCAGGCATGGTGGCTCACGCCTGTGATCCCAGCACTTTGGGAGGCCAAGGCAGGCAGATCACTGGAGGTCAGGAGTTCAAGACCAGCCTGGCCAACATGGTAAAATCCCGTTTCTTCTAAAAATACAAAAATTAGCCGGGCTTGGTGGCGGGCACCTGTAACCCCAGCTACTCAGGAGGCTGAGGTGGGAGAATCACAAACCTGGGAGGCGGAGGTTGCAGTGAGCCAAGATCACACCACTGCACTCCAGACTGGGTAACAGAACAAGACTCCATCTCAAAAAAAAAGATAATGGTGATAATGCAAGTACCAGTGAATCAGAAGAAAACGGCAGAACCTGCACTTCTGTGGCACAGAGGAGCCTGGTGGCCACAGCACAGGTCTTGCTGATGAAATTGAACAAGAAGTCGAAAACACACAGCCCTGAAAATATCAGGAAGACTCTGAACATGGACTTCCTTCCATGCTCACTAGTGCTGAGCTTTGAGCTTCGCTGTAAGTACGCTGCGCTTGGAAGTATTAGCTAATGTTGGTTTGCATATTTCAGTTTAAGAAAATATTCTCATTGGAAGTGTGAGATGAACAATTTGTATTGATGGGTGTGCAAGATGGAAGGACGTTGCATCCTCCTCTCTAGAAAGTGAACTGGAGGGGCCGGAGGTGGTGGCTCACGCCTGTAATCCCAGCACTTTGGGAGGCCGAGACAGGTGGATCACGAGGTCAGGAGATCGAGACCAGCCTGGCCAACATGGTGAAACCCCATCTCTACTAAAAACACAAAAATTAGCTAGATGTGGTGGCACGCACCTGTAATTCCAGCCACTCGGGAGGCTGAGGCAGGAGAATCTCTTGAACCCCGGAGGCGGAGGTTGCAGTGAACTGAGATCATGCCACTCTACTCCACTCCAGCCTGGGGACAGAACGAGACTCTGTCTCAAAGAAAAAAAAAAAAAAAGTTAACTGGAGGAAGCTGGGCTGGCACAGGGAGAGAAGGAGCCGGGGTCCCCACAGCCATCCAGGGGCAAGGTGACAGTGGTGGTGAAATAGAGGCATTGAGGGGTTGGGTTGACAAGGACAGCTGCCAGATGGGAGGAGGTGAGTGAGTGTGAGGGCTACCTGTTGCCTCTAAGGACCAGGGAGGTATACAGCAAGCAACTGGATTCGTGGTCTGGAGATTTATTTATTTTATTTTATTTTTATTTGTTTTTTAGAGACAGGGTGTCACTCTGTCACCTAGGCTGGAGTACAGTGGCATGAGATCATGGCTCACTGCAACCTTGACCTCCAAGGCTCAAGTAATCCTCCTGCCTCAGTCGTCCAAAGGGCTAGGATTACAGTCATAAGCTACTGAGCCTGGCCATGGAGACTGATTTATTTTAGAAACAGAGTCTTGCTCTGTTGCCCAGGCTGGAGTGCAGTGGTGTGATCATAGCTCACTGTAGCCTGGAACTCTTGGGTTGCAGCAAACTTGTAGCTGGGTACACAAGTGCGCACCACCACGCCCAGCTAATTATTATTATTATTATTATTTTTTCAAGACAGAGCCTCACTCTGTTGCCCAGGCCAGAGTGCAGTGGCGCGATCTTGGCACACTGCAATCTCTGCCTCCTAGGTTCAAGTAATTCTCCTGCCTCAGCCTCCCGAGTAGTTGGGATTACAGGCGCCCCCACCACCACACCTGGCTCATTTTTGTATTTTTAGTAGAGACAGGGTTTCACCGTGTTGGCCAAGCTGGTCTCAAACTCGTGACCTTGTGATCTGCCTGCCTCGGCCTCCCAAAGTGCTGGGATTACAGGCATGAGCCACCACACCTGTCCTAATTTTTTATTTTTATTTTTATTTTTTATTTATTTTATTCTTTTCAGATGGAGTCTCGCTCTGTCGCCCAGGCTGGAGTGCAGTGGTGCGATCTCGGCTCACTGCAAGCTCCGCCTCCCAGTTCATGCCATTTTCCTGCCTCAGCCTCCTGAGTAGCTGGGACTGCAGGCGCCCGCCACCTCACCCAGCTAATTTTTTGTATTTTTAGTAGAGACGGGATTTCACCGTGTTAGCCAGAATGGTCTCGATGTCCTGACCTTGTGATCTGCCCGCCTCAGCCTCCCAAAGTGTTGGGATTACAGGCGTGAGCCACCGCACCAGGCCTAATTTTTTATTTTTAAATTTTTTGTAGAGACAAGGACTCCCTACATTGCCCAGGCTGGTCTCAAACCCTGGGTCTCAATGGATACTCCTGCCTCAGCCTCCCAAAGTGCTGGGATCATAGGCATGAGCTGCCACACTGCCAGTCTGCAGATTTAGATGTGAAGGTCTTGGGCATTCAAAGTGGTGGAGATCTGGTGTTCGTTTAGCCTTTGAGGCCAGGCGGATCCAGCTCTTTTAAACTGGCTTTCACGTGACTGGCTGCGTGACCTTGGGTGCATGACCTCACTCCGGAACCTTAGTTTACTTATCTGTAAAGTGAGGGATAATAATAGGACCTACCTCAGAGGGTTGTAAAGGATTAAATGAGAGGCTGTAAAATCACACAGCACCTGACTCCTAGTAAACACCCAACCCTAGGAGGTGAAAGTTACTGTGGATGGTGGGTGAGGCCAGGAGAGAAGGAGATGGCTCCAGAGGAGTGTGGCAGGAAGTCCAGAGTCGACACATGCCCCAGGGAGGAGCTCACTGTACACTGGTCAAGAAAGCAGGCAACGGAAGTCAATGGGAAAGTGCGAAGCGGAGGGGAGAGCCAGGCTCCGGGGTGCGGCCCATCTCCCCACATGTTGAGATTAGCCAAGCTGTTCCCTGAAGGTTGTTCAAGGTCAGAGACAGGAGGGTGGAGCAGTGCAGCTAGGATGGAGGACCAAGGCTGTCCGGTTCCAAAGCTGATTCCAGCAGAGGCGCTGTGGAGCTCCACAGTGTGGGTTCAGCAGAGAAGTGGGTATTAAAGGCCACAGGGCCTGGGCTTGGTCCTCAAGTCCATATTTACTGGTTATGCGTCCTTAAGCTACTGGGGTTTTTTTTTTTTGAGACAGTCTCACTCTGTCGCCCAGGCTGGAGTGTAGTGGCAGCGATCTTGGCTCCCTGCAACCTACGTCTCCCAGGTTCAAGTGATTCTCCTGCCTCAGCCCTCTGAGTAGCTGGGACAACAGGCACATGCCACCATGCCCAGCTAATTTTTGTGTTTTTAGTAGAGATGGGGTTTTACCGTGTTGGCCAGGCTGGTCTCGAACTCCCGACCTCATGATCTGCCTGCCTCAGCCTCCCAAAGTGCTGGGATTACAGGCCTGAGCCACCGTGCCTGGCACTTAAACTACTTTTTAATTTTGTTTTTATTTTTATTTTTAGAGACGGGGTCTCGCTCTGTTACCCAGGCTGGAGTACAGTGGCACAATCATGGGTCACTGCAGCCTTAAACTTCTGGCCTCTCACGATCTTCCCGTATTGGCCTCCTAAAGCGCTAGGATTACAGGCACACACCTGGCTCCTTAAACTACTTAACCTCTCCGAGTCATTTTATCATCTGTAAAATGTGATCCTATTTCATTCCTACGGTTAGAGGAGGTTTAAATAAAATGGTACTTGGGAAGGAAACTGAAGCTCAAAGGGTAAGAAGCCTGCCACACCCACTGAGCTGAGTGAGATACAAGTACCAGCCTGGGTCAGCAGAAAGAAGAAGAGGCACCCAGGCCAGGCACAGTGGCTCACACCTGTAATCCCAGCACTTTGGGAGGCCCAGGCAGGTGAATTACTTGAGGTCAGGAGTTCAAGACCAGTCTGGCCATCATGGCAAAACTTTGACTTTACAACAAATACAAAAAT